ATCTCTGTCCTCATGTGAATTCAGAGGCAATAAAAATGAAATTATTTACCATAAACATCGCAAACTAAAAACCTAATAAACAATATTATACCGAATATAGAAATAAATTTAGTATTTTTACCTATTATCGTCCAAATCCATGTTAATAGATAATTATTATTTTTAAATATATTTTTGGAACTGCTGGTTTAATAATTATTAAATTAAACGAACTAAAAGTCTTAAAAATAAACAATTCTTAACCATAACCTCAAAAATGCAGATCTCCTGTCAACTTTCTTTATTTTTTATTTATTCATTATTTTCCTAGTGACGTCACAGGTGGTATGCGCGAACTGAACGAAATTGGAGCCGCTATCGATCATACCTTGTATTCTTTGTACCATGACGTCTAAACGCCTTTGATGTACCGACTCGAAGCGGATGGTCGAGCGCACGAACGAACGAACGGCCGCATGCGTTCGGTCCCCGTCTAAATATACCGCACTTTCATTCGTTCGTTCGGATAATGAATACGCACCTTAAATCTGAAAGCGCACGCAGGCGAACGCCTTAGATGTACCGACTCGAAGCGGATGGTCGAGCGCACGACCGAACGAACGGCCGCATGCGTTCGGTCTCCGTCTAAATATACCGTACTTTCATTCGTTCGTTCGTTCGTTCGTTCGGATAATGAATACGCACCTTAACGGTACTGTTCTCGTCTACAGGAGTGGGGAAAGCAGCACACAGTGGGGACAACGGCGCGCGCCGTATCACCGCGAGTATCGATCGATGCGAACCAAGACTCTACTACTTGCTTTTAACAAAATAATTATTTTATAAATAATTTGATAATTAAAAGCCAATTAATTTAATCACTACAAATTAATTATCACAAAAATTAAGTAACATCGTTACAACGTCTACAAGAAACCGTTGACGTTCTGTTAAAATGACATTATATCAAGAAAAACTTCAAAATTAAAAATTACTACCTGATAACAATTACTTAATAAGGTAAAACCAAAAAGCCCAAACTTTCTGTATGATTATTTTTAAATTTTACGTATGTTATGTTTATTTATGATATGTTCTTTAAAATCAAAGAAGCGATTGCCATACATTACTAACATCTACAGATGCATGAGCAATACATTTATTTTTATTAGATTGAATTAAAAAACCTCTTTTATTTTTCTTTTAGAGGCTATCGCTTCTTTCATTATAATTTTGGCGTTATTAAAATTTATTTTGTGCCCTGTGTCCCATGAATGCTGACAAATCTTAGATTTGTGAAAATCTTCCTTTGTTAAATAATCTTTATGTTCTTTAATTCTAACATTTAAGGGTCTAGATGTTTCACCAATGTAAAATTTATCGCATTCAGAGGGTATTGGTATATTACATAAATGTTAGAATTATTAAATTAAGAAATAACTGCACTTTCCATGTTATCTGATAATTTCGTAGCAGTCGCATATCGATTTATTTAAAGGAACACATCCCTAGTTTTAAGTAAGTGCTAGCGTGGCTAACGTCATATTCAAGGCCTGACTGTTTTGACAGTTCTACCGAAGTGGTGCAGAATTAGTAGTCGTAAACAAACCAATTGTTTTCATTAGTTTCGCAACAAATATGTGTGTTTTACGCGTTTCTATGCTAATAAAATTATACTAAATAATTTTGAGTGAATAGTGAACTATCTAGATCCGATTCATAACATCGTACCCGCGAAAAAAACCATACTTTCGGTAAAAATTATAGTAACACCGGCGATGCCGGGTGTGTGTCCGGACTAGGGAAAAGTTGGGGAATTTATATGAAAACATAATTAATAGAGTTAGTGTTAGTGTATAGTGTTAAACCAACGTAAGTGACGTGTATTTTTATGTAAAACAGTTTTTGTTTCTTTATTTTTACTTTTTGAAATAAAAAATTCCGCGACATTGTTCTGTGCCTGTGCCTTTGTAGCAGCAATTATAATAAGTCCTCAGGATCTGTCTACATTCTCTTTCCCAACAATATTAACTGTAACTAGGTCACGTCCAAAACCTACAGAACATGCTGTGCCTACAATTTTTCCAAATCAACCCTCTTATGGACCCTCTGTGCATGTTCCCATAAAGAGAAAACGTCCCGATAAAATAAAACAAGATTTGGAAATTCAGGATGAAATAACTATTGAAAAGTATTATTATTATTATGAAATATATATTATTATTATGAAATATATATTATTATTATGAAATGGCAATATATTTTAAAGAAATTAAATGAATTTTTACTTTATTTCAGTATTTTATATAAAAAAAATGATATCTTTATCTTTTTATTTACGATTTATGGAGATGGTTATTTGATGAACATCGAACTACAAATTACTTAATGCTAATAGTTAATTCTATTTGATATCCACATTTTTTAAATATGTTAGGCAAATTTTTACAATTATTTTTAATTAAACTTTAAAATGTATTCTGCCGTTATCATATACATTTATACATATATACATTTTCTTAACTTGTCGATAAACGTATAGTTTTCAAATTTTTTAATATTTAGAAACTTTTTATCACAGGTATATTATTACTAGTTGCTAAGTACTCGCTAACGCAATTTTAGGACACGCTTTTTATTATCTAGATTTTATTTTGTTCATCTTATGCTGTAGTTTATTTCATATTAATATTCGTGCTTTAGATCTAAATTTTAATGCTAATCAATTACTTTAACGCGATAAAAGTTAATGTTATTTTTTAATACCTTTCTGTATAATATTTTTCATATTTATATCTGGCAAAACTATCAATAAATATTATTATTTATGCAAAAACTATATGCAGTACCATATGGCACAATACAAAAGCCCGACTAGTGCGGTGACGTCACAAATCGATGTCTCTGGCCTGTATGTCATGTTGGTTATGGTGCTAGTCCTACATGGGTCACTTGCCTAAATTGCATACTAGAAAACGCGGACACGCGGGGCAATGCATCGACCCAAAGTTTTAATGGAACGAGACATCTAATTTGCATCACCTGCCCTAATAACATCTACGGTTAATTATTTTTTTAATTGTAAATTGTAGTTTATTCAGTTAGTGGCATCTGTTGTTGTATGTTATGTATTTATAATTATTTCTTGACCTCTACCAACAAACTATTTTTAGTATTGTTTGTATTGCTATGGTTAGTTTACAATAGTTTCAACATTCAGATATTTTCGCGATTGAGAGAATCATTTAAAACACCTGCTTGTATGTTAATAATAACTAGCACGATAAACAGGTCAGTCCAATTGTCTATGTTTGTATTTATAGGTTGATATTTAATAATAAATATAAATTATTCTTTGAGTACCCAGTATGTTTTAAAACTTAACCAAAATAAAACAGCCTCTAATTCAGGCTTTGTAGTAAGAAACAAAAAAGAAATGTAATTAATTTCGAACTAAAATCAAATCAATACAAATTTCCGAACCTTTCTGCGAAAAGTGAGTTTGTAAATTTTAAACAGATTTATTTTATAATTTTTATGTATCCATCTTTTTTTATGTCCTTGATAATTTTAACCATTGAAATTTTTAAGAGCTTTCTGGTCGCCATGTTGTTTTACGCAGAAATGTGTCACGCCATATTGTGTTTTGCGCACCCTGTAAGTATTTTCATTTTTTTTAACTTTTCAACACCCTGTATCATTTTCTAAATCACACATACAATATCGCGTTATATTTTATTTGTTTTCTTTTCATACTGTACTTTTAAAAATATTTGCTTCAAATGTTAATGTAGATTCTTCGGCTTTCATAATAATTTATTATTTTTCTGACATCACTCTGTTCATTTAGTACTGTTCCTTTATTTTTCAGTATTGTTTATTATTGTGCTTCATTGTCTTAAAATAATATGTAAAAAGAGCAATAATGTTTATAAATCGATAATTTATATTAATAATAAATCAATAATGCATTTTATTATTAATAACACCATAATTAATTAATTAATTAATAACTACACCAAAACACGTTAGAATATATTTAACGGATAATCATTTTTCAAATTTTGGCGCGCTGACGAAGACACCCGAAGAGTGAGTCGATTTGAGGGTCAACTTATCCTCTTGAATAACATATTTACCAAAGAATATACCTAGCTAGAAAAAGAATGGACTCTGCCATACTGAAAAATGGTCCTACAGAAGTGGCGCCATCTATTGAGTAGGGCTTGTTTTAAATGGATCGAAGCGCGGGCTTTTTAAATGAGCGTATTTATTGAATTTTGCTCTAAAATAATTAAATTTGATTATTAAATCTTATTTTTTACACAAATTCAACAATACTAATAACAAGTATCGTTGTGATGTGTAAAAAATATAAGATTATATAACAGTAAAATATAAGATAGATTTAACAGTATAATTTATACAATTATTAAATAAAATTAAAGCCAAACATGTGAAATATTATTTATTATGTAAAGTTTTTATGTATAAGTCAAATATTTAAACATCGTTTATTATAATAAAACAAGACCAACGTAATACGCCCAAAGTTTTGTAAATGGAGTAAATATAAATAGGTACTTAAATGATGGCAAAAATAAAAGACTTACATTATATTTTTTAGGGCCACAAACAAAAGAAATTGTCTAATTAAAACACATATAACAAATTATAGTTTGAAAAACGTTTTGATAATAATTTATTTGATACTATTATGATTGGCGCTATGACAACGACAATATTGTTTGAGAATTTGACAATAATATGACAATGGCCGTTGGAAACTATGGAAACTACAAAAAAATTCTGATTTAACGCCATCTGGCAAAAACTAGTAGCAACTTCTTAACCTAAAAATCAATTGTACTACCACCTAGTGGCTAGGGCTGGAACTATTTTATTTGAGATTTCCGTGGAAACGGTGGAACCGCTTTTGCTATTTCACTTTCCCGCCCCTAATATTTACCTCTAAAACATCTTTGACAGGTAACAATGCTTCCTGTCATTAAAATATAATCTGTCCTGTCAGTTTTTACACGTGAATTCTTTTTGAGTTACGGTATTTTTATTGTAAACATGCGATTGTGGTACACAGATAAAGGTAAATACCATTCATATTAATATTTTGCTAGTTTGTAATAATTGTTTCGGTTTAAATACATATAAGTTATGAAATGGCTGGATGGAACTGATTTATAAATGGTTGTTGTTAAGTAGAAGAATGTTTTAACTAAAATAATGTTCTATACTTGATATTTATTGATTGTTCTAAGGATGCAACATTCTCGCCTAGATGTTTTATTACGTATTCTTTCGAGTACCAAATATAAAGTAGGTAGTATATCTGACGAGCGCTATTTTAGAAATAATTACTTAATTGGAAATTTCATTGTTCAATATACCTACTTAATCATTTATTTTATCCATTTATTAATCAATAAGAATATGCAATTTGTGCTTTAAAATACTGTAGAAAAACTAGATGCACATGAAATTCACGAAAAATTAACTTGATATACCTAGAACGAGATCTAGAACTATAGAAAAATATTTGAGATTTTGGTCGAGATTTTCTTCGAGAAAATATCATTAGATCATAGTAACTGTGAAAGTTTGAGCCATTTCCCATTTGATTTATAAAGAAATTTTGGTAATTATTGGGAAAACTGGAAATCGTCAGATTTTCACCAAAATTGGTATACACCTACATTTGAAGTCGTAGATTACCAATCTTTTTTCTTGGCTGTCTCTAACCGTTTTTCAGAAAAGCGGAAAATTATTTCAACATCGAATTTTTCTTAATTTCTCATATATTTAAGGTTTTCTAAGCACCAAAACATGTGGTACCAAAACATGTTAGGTATTCAATAAACAATGATGTCATTGCTATTTTCTGTTACTTTTTTAATCAATTCTATGCATAATAGAGGAAAATTTGCTAAGATAAATTTGTAAACAGTCTGAAAACGTTGGGTTGTGTTTATGGCATTTAAAGCAACGTTGCCAATGCTAAACTTAATTTAGCGTGTTTTTTTCGCTCATTCTGGGATTACGAAATGCGGTTATTAATATTATATCAAAATCTTTTTTTGATATAATATAACAACAAAAGATTAACACCCTCCGCATGGAAATTGTAACCAATGCAATCAAAACTCTTTCGTGCAACTTCGTGGTTATAAATACATATAACAAAAAACAAAGAAAAGATTAACCCCTCCGCATAAAAGTTGAAACCAGTGCAATCAAAACTCTACCGCGTAATTTTGTGGATATAGGTAGGTATATTTAATTATTGTCGATCTCATAATAGGTAATTTATTTAAAATCCCTAATCACCCGAAAAAATAGAAGATATGGCAACATTGTAAATTTTCAAATTTCTAGATTAGGTCTAGAATATATTTGTCTCTCTCATTACATAGGAGAGAGAAAGAAGGATATATCAAATGTCAAACTTCCATCTGGTCTCAATTTTCTTTGTTATTTTGTTAAGAAAAATGTTTTTCAGTAAAATTTTGGACATTTTTCTATCCCCAATCAAGTGTGGCTTTTAGATAAACTATAATATAATGAAAATATAGTGAAGTTATTACCTTATAGGGCCGAAATAAAGAAAAAATTCAATGTTGAAATAATTTTCCGTTTTTCAGATTCGTAATCTACGACCTCAAAATAGTGTGTATACTAATTTTGGTGAAAATCGGACGATTTCCAGTTTTCCCTTAAATAATTACCTTTACCGGAATTTTTTAACTCAAACAAGTATTCGTACTTTTTATGTAGTTAGGTCGAAACATATTCTTGTAGAGAACTGAACGCTCTACACAAAGTTCTTGTATAATTTTTTGATATATTAATTGGTTCCAAAGTTATTTGAGATTAAATTTGGATTGATAAATTTTAACATGTTTTCATTTTTTTTTATGTAACTCAACTTTATGGGAAAATTTTTCATGTGACATTTTTGTAGAGCTTTTAATTCTCTATAAGTTATCTCTATAAAAGTTTTTGATATTTTGGACAGATCGTATAAGTTAGGTACCTATCAGGTTAAAAATCTTTAATTCACACAATATAATTTTAAACAATAAAATTACAATACCTATTAACAAAAATCAGTTTAATGCAAATAACTTACGGCCTGTACATACAAAATATTAAAAACTTTTATAGAGATACTTTTATATTAATTATCTAGTACATTAAATTAGTACACCATCATCTGTTCTAACGATTAGAAATCAGTTGGAAACTGCAAATTTTTCTTCTGCAAACGCTTTAAACATCATGCGCATGCGTCGGACTGTTTTAAACTGTATTCTGACAGCTATTCTTTATTTCTGACAGCTCTGCGAAAAAATTCTAATAAGAATAATAGCTCCCGTATATATCGTTTGACGCCTTGATACCAAGGTACAGTTTGCCATGCTAGAGCCGTTCGGTATACAAGGAAGGTAATGTGGCTAGCACTACGCTTCAACCGCCTATTATTACCTCAGGGTTGTGAATCCCAAGTACTCATTTAAGGCTGAGTCGACCTAGGTAATAAAAATAGTCGGCTGATGAAATGCCGGGTGTAGGATTCGAACCCACTACCTTGAGATTGGTAGACGAGAGCCTGTACCTCTACGCCACCGCCGCACCGGGGCAAAAAATTCTAATTTTTCAAAAAAAATAGACTTTTATAATTATAAAGACCATTTTGATTCTCTTTAAATATTATTACGATGTACTCAAACAGCCGTTAAACGGTAGCCTACTAAAATGCCGTTAATAGATATTGTGACGTCGTTCATGTCGGCGGAAAGTAATACCTAGCTATAAGCATTTTGCAAGAGCACCTTGGCTCCGTGGCTGAGGCTATCGCTTCATGAGCAGATGGTCCGTGGTTTAAATCTCACGCCGACCAAGACTTTTTTATATTTTTTTTTGCTAATAGGGTGATCTTATTGCATTGGTTTCACTCTTTTTGGTTGGATTGGTTTAGTTATTTGGCGGGTTGGTTAGCGTGGATATTTGGAGGGTGTTAATTCATATCCATATTCGGCAATTGGTTAGTTGGTTATTTGGTGGGGTTGGTTGGTTTTTACTAATTTATATTTGTTTTTATATTTTTTTATCAGTGTCGAGGTAAGTTGCGTTGGTTAAGTTGGTTATTTGGTGGGGTGGATAGCGTTGGTGAGTCCTTATAAAATTCCTATATTTCATAAAGCCGTCAAGTGCGTCACATCAACAACGTCATATCTATTAACGGCATTTTAGTAAGCTACCGTTTAACGGCAGTTTAAGTACAGCCATATTATTATGTATTTAAAAAAATCCGAAAATTTAAAAGCCGTTTTTCATTTGTATATGACCCTGTATATGACTTTATGACACACTTTGTATACCAAAAATAAAATATTTAATTAGACCCGTCTGAAGTAAATAATCTTAATAATAATTGTAGAAGATATCGAAATCAAATTATTTCAAAGAAGTTCAATTTTGGCTTTGGCTTTTTAACACTTTTTTTCAAAATTTTCTAACTACTCCATTGACTGAAACTAATTATGCATGTCTGGATAAAGGGTGGATGGCGCTCTTCTGCGGTGGTTTTTTATTTCTTAATTATGTATAGGGTGTTTTAGAACTCGAGCCAAAGTCGAAATTTTGCACAATCTGAAAAAAGAAAATATCTCGAAAGACCTCAAATTTTCACAGTTTTTTTTTCGTTATTTCCAACATTTTCGATATAATTTCAAATAAAAAAAAATAGTCGATTTCTTTTAAACAGTCTAAGAAGTTAAACAAAAAGCTCTGAATCTGAAGTTGTGTATAACACTACTCGTTTTTCCTTGAAATTCGAACTTTCAGCAAACCTTTAATCCCCACATATTTCCAGGAATGAAGCCGGGAGACATCCTGACCAAGCTGCGCAAAGAAGCGAAATCGAAAATTCCGTCGAACATGAATCTGAAGCTGCCGGTAAACTTGAACCTGAAAGATTTGAGAGCTTTTCTGGATCAGATAGTCGAAGCGCTAAAGCAGCCGGCTGGATCGAAGCCAGGCGCGCCGGAGGTATCCAGGCCGATGAAATTTCCCTACACGTACAGTGCCAAACTGGCGCAGTTTCCCTACAAGTACTATTTTAAGAATCAGTGGATATTCCGGTATTACCCGGTGGGGGTGCTGGCTGCCCTGCCGCTGTTTATCTTCATGTCGAAACTGTGTAAGTTGTAGCATTATTAAAGAAAGAATTTTTTTTTAATAAACTCACCGGCAAAAAACCGGCCGCTAAAAACTAGTCGCAATTTCAAATTTGGATTTCTCGCGAACCACTAAATTGTAAATTAATTTCTTCTTAACGTATGCTACGTCAGAAATGTTTATTCCGAATTTATTTTGAGCATATTATACAGGGCACAACGATAAAACGATGTTTTTGCCCGAACTTTGCAACACCCTGTAGAGTGCAGCAGCCTGTAGGGTGTAGTAGTAGATATTGCTAAATCAAATCACATTGTAGCCTCATCTTTTGTGAGCATTTTGTTTTTTTAATCACGACATTATCTCTGTTTGTATTGGAGATACGCTGCTTTAAAACGAACGTCTTGGAAAAATGCTTCGCAAGCTGAAAGTTTTATGTATAAATAATCAAGGCATTTCGTCGATCCACTGTGCGGATCGACGCAATGCAATTTGCTGGACATTTAGCAATTATGCAAAATTTCTAACTTGCAAAATCTTCAAATTTGTTAAAAATAGTCATAACTTTATCATAGTTTAAGGAAAAGAGTAGTTGCACTCTTTGGTTGCACTCTCGCAAATATTTTCTGCCAGTTTTTGCAAGCTGTCGAATATCGGCAGCTTGCAAAGCGTTTCAGTTGAATTCCGTCCGTCGAGCTGCAAGGTTCGAGCGTTGCGTTCCAGCACAGAGACGGATTGCTAAAAAATGAGTGCATTACTGTGTGCTGCTATTAATTGTAGTAATAATTCAAAAAATTGTTCTGTGAGTTTTTTTAGATTTCCATCGGATATAAATCGGCAAGCTGATAGTAATTATCAATTAACATTTAATTATATTTGGTTATTTTAGAAGCTGAGATATTATGTAATTAATTAAATATTATTTTTTTTAGCATGTGGGTAGATTTTAAAAATAGTTCTTTAGATATACAGGTTGTCTCAAATATGCGCATGAAAATATTTTTTGGTCAGGGGATTTGCCATAAAATTTTCATTCCAATAATAGTTTACGAGATAATTTATATAGATTTATTTTGAAATGGACGCGATTAGAAGAGCAATGAGAATTTCACGGAGGGATAAGATCAGAAATGAAGACATTAGACAATAGATGGGAATAGAGGGAACAATAGTAAATGATATAGAACAAAAACAATTAATATGGTACGGCCACGTTCAGAGAATTCACAATGAAAGAATTCCAAAACAAGCCATTCACTGGATACCACCTGGTAAACGAAAGAGAGGACGTCCCAAGAAAACATGGATGGAAGGAATAAGAAGGTCGATGAGAGAAAAATCTGACCGAAGATTAATGGGAAAATCGCACAGGGTGGAAGTTAGGCATCGGACAACGTCGTAGGACGTTCTGACCCGAATTTATATAATTTTAGAGTAAATATTTTCTACATCTAAAGTGTCCGCAAATTATTCATATTTTTTAATTGACAGAATTTTATAATAGCATAATCTCTTATAAATTTAGTGCACTGTATTTTTTTATGTTTTTTTATTTATTTTTTATTATAAGTGGTCGTAATATAACAATATTCAAAATATTATAGACAAAATATTGAGTTTATATTTGAGGGAAGAAAAGTGCCACACCTAGCTTTAAACCACCTTAAATATACAGGGTGGCCCATTAGTGCGAGGAAGTCCAATATCGTCGTCGTTGTCGAAGATGTGAAAAAAGTTTTATTCATATGTTTCAAGGTTTATAAAGGGGCGTATCCTAAAATATTTTGTTATATACAGGGTGTCACAAAAAAGTTATGGTAAAGTTAGTTTTATTATTTTAAATCATTCTATATACATTATTCTATTTCGCACCCATTTTACCGTTGAGAGAGGATTATTTCATCGGATAGCATAGCTGCTGTGTTGGAGCCTCATTTATTACGCACTCATTTCTGGGACACCCTGTATAGGGTATATTTTATGGCGTCACCAAAATCGGAATACTTAAAATGGTATATCTCAATTTTTTTAAATACCACACTCTGTATATTATTTTTCTGTCAGATGCAGAATTAAAAAGTGATAATTTTTTTATTTAAAGGGTTTCTAAATTTTTAACGGTTTCGCAGATATTCGCAGTATTATATTACATATGGCTCTTTAAACAGTAAATTTTTATCAAAGCCACCTAATATGACCTTTGTCTGATATTTTATCGTTGGAAATCCCATATATAATGAAATACAGAAAATATTTGCAAAACGGCTAAAAATTTAAGAACACTTTAAATACAAAAAATGTTTACCTTTTAATTCTACATCTGAAAGAAAAATGATATACAAGGTGTTGCATTTAAAAAAATGAGATACAATATTTTAAATATTACGATTTTGGTGACGCCTTAAAAAATATCCTGTATACGATAAAGTAAATTTTTCTACACGAATTTATTCTGGTATCCTTCGTGTTTAAGAAAACATAGCTAGGTATTAATAAAATTATATTCACTCTAGTTTTTTACCACCTTTCGTATATAATGTTTTTAACCAAAGTTTTAGTAAATAAGAAATAGAATGGCCACACCGCAGTGTGCTTTAAATAAAGACGGTGTACTATATGTAGAATTTTATGCCGAATCCAGTTATGTACATAAAATTAAACTTGTTTTAAATAAAAAAAAACTTGTAGAAAATCTCTGAAATAGATAATAATATAAAAATATGTAATTATATATTTTTTCCGCATTTCTTCCAATCAGAAGATTTTCAGATTCAGAAGAATTTTTACCTACGCGAAATGTGAAAATATTCTGTTTTCAAGCATATTTTTACTCGATGATCAATTTTTTTATTTTATTTTATTGTGAACTCATATTTTCCTAAATACATATCTGTGAAACTATGGCGAGCGCCACGACTATACTTTGCCTAGTTAATAGACCACGACTATACAGCTACGTCAGTGGTCACGGGAGGCGAGAACAAGGTCATATAAAGTGGCAGAACAAGAACAAAGGATTTGACAAGGAGTAAAACTACTAGTTTCCTTATACTATGACTTTATTATAGATAACTTGCTGTAGTGCAGGGGTGTTTTTCCAGAATATATATTTTATTTGTATTTCCGTATTAAATTGACTATTAAAAATTAACTGCATAATTTCGTACTTATTCCAAAACTTAATGAACTTTTTATCATATTTTTTATTCTATATGAATTATGACCTTGCGATTTGTCCAGTTCTTTAATACCAACATGTATTCAATAACAATAATTCCTTAATTAATGTATAGTGTATGACAAAAAATTAAATTTTAGACAAAATTTTCCATAGCCATCTTTGCTGCAAGCGGCTGCAATGAAACTTTGTATTCATAAGTTTAGCATAAAATAGAGAAGTCATACCCACCAACAAATAATCGGGACTCGGTGGGACTTTTTGATAATTACGAAAGAAAGATGCAAACTATAATAAATTTCGCTGAAAAATGTATATTTTCACGGAGAATAGAGTTAAATAAACACCCAAGTGTTTCAAAATTTCTTTTAAATTACTCGTTAAAATATGGGCTAAAACTTTTGTATGGGGCACATGAATTAAGTCATTTATTTAATCCATAATTTGCTTTATAAACTTCCCACATATTAAATATCTTTAACAAGAAACGCATATATTATATTGTATACCATAATATATAGCTTTGGGTGAATTTTTCAATAAAATTCGATTTCAGTTGATTAAATTATGGCCTTCTAAATATGTATTTGAAGAAATTTGTATTAAAAGTTTAGATACGATTTTAAGTGTTATGTCCAGCATCAAACATACGATCGTTCTACTGTGCGACGTAGGCGAAAACGGATGAGTATTTGTAATATGACAACAACGGTTGTCTAATTAAAAAATGTCATCTGTGACGGATGTTGCTCGTATTGTAGGTTTAATTGAGGATGGCCGAAGTCAGCGTTAAGTCCGATACCCTGGGCATACCTCGAACAACAGTCCAGGATGCCTGGAATCGGTATATGAAAAAGGGAAATTTCACCAGACGAGTAGGTTCCGGAAGAAAACGGAAGACAAATGCAATTGATGACCGCTTTATTGTCCTGAATACTTTACGAAATCGTAGAATTTACAGCGTTTCAGAATCAACATCTTCTACAAGCCGTGCGTAGAACTCAAGTCAGTGAGAGAACAATCCGTCGAAAACTAAAAGAAAACAGCTTGTCTGCAACGAGGTCTGCCACAGGACTCCAACTACTTTCAAGATATCGTCGAGCACGTCTTAAGTTTGTTCGTTTACATGTGAATTGAGATATTGAGCAATGGACTAAAGCTTTTTTCGAGGCTTTTGTTTTAAAGCAGCGTATCTCCAATACAAACAGAGATAATGTCATGATTAAAAAAATAAAATGCTCACAAAAGATGAGGCTATATTGTGATTGTAGCAATACTTTGATTTAGCAATAGCTACTACAGCTGCTGCACCTTACAGTGTGTTACAAAGTTCGGGCAAAAAACTTCGTCTTATTGTTGTGCCCTGTATATGCTCAAAATAAATTCGGAATAAAAATTTCTGACGTAGCATCCGTCAAGAAGAAATTAATTTACAATTTAAAAAAAAATCATCAAAATCTAATGAGTGGCTCGCGAGAAATCCAACTTTGAAATTGGGACTAGTTTTTAGTGGCCGTTTTTTTGCCGGTGAGTGTATTTAGGCCCGATTGTATAAACATAGTTCGTAAACTCCAGTTCAAGTGAAATTCTAATCGCAAAACATTTTCCGATGCAGTTCATCAAGCATGTCGTAATTGACACTAAAGCCTATGACCTGACTAAATAAAATTTTGGCAAAAATGTTTAAATGTATTGTACCTATAATTTAAGATATTGTTACGTTTTTCGTCGGTTCCGTGTGGATAGAAAGTCACAATTTATTTAAACACTATTTATTTAACACTAATTAACAAAAACAAAAACAATAACGATAAAAGACTTATAGAACTATTTACAAACGATTTATAACTAAGAATTTATTTTAAATTTTAGCGCGTCAACTGCACTTGTATATTTATAACTGCCCTCTCTAGGCCACAGCCGCCGGCTTTTATACCTACAGTTAAAGTTTACTAGAATAGTCCATAGATCGTTAGGTGCATAGAGAAGGTTTCGAATGTTCTCGTATGTACTACTCCATTCGAGTGGGACTCGATTCTTCTCGAATCTTCGAATGAATCGTTACGGTGTCTATTCTTTAATGCGATGTTAAGGTCATCCGAAGGCGGGCCATATAGTTAGGTTAGGACGAGTCCACACCGGTCCGCAACACTGCCCCCTTCTTAGGTACATGCTCGTCCCTAGATGTACACGGTGAATGAAGGTATTTGCAAAGCTGGCCCCTGGTACATTTCGAAGTCTGGTAGAAATAGCAGTCTACAGTTTTCTCTCCCGATCTCAGCTTTGGGTTGTATCAGCAAACAAGGATCTCGTTGATCTTCTTTGGTTACACCATAGCGAGCTTTTTCACTGCTGTTGTATCGGGCCATGAAATCGTCAAAGGACATCTCCGAATCAGGGGGATCAAAGCTGCAGGTTCTCACGGTCCCAGCACGATCTTCTATTTCGCCTTGGTAGGGGCTCAAACGGTTGAAATGGACTACCCTCTGTTTTCCTTTTGGCAATTTTCTGATACGGTATACGACGTCATTAATCCTATCCATGACTTCGTATGGCCCTTCCCACGAGGATTGTAGCTTCGGAGATAACCCATGACGTCTCTGCGGGTTATATAGCCACACCAACTTCCCTGGTTGGTATCCGCAATGCTCAGCTTGAATGTCGTAGTGTTACTTCATTCGGTCACTAGCACTTTGAATATTTAGGCAGAATCGCTAATGGATGTCGTCCATTCTTTGACGTAGTGTGTGGACATAATCTTCTCCGGTGACTTCTTCTCCCGGTCGGCAACCAAATTTCAGATCACAAGGTAGGCGCACTTCCCGTCCCATAACGATGCTGGCTGGAGTTTGCCCTGTAGATTCTTGGACGGATGAACGGTAGGCCAACAGGAACAGGCGAAGAAATTTGTCCCAATCTCTTTGGTGGTCAGAGACTACTTTGGCCAGATAACGGTTGATAGTTCTGTTTATGCGTTCAACCATCCCATCGGATTGTGGATATAGAGCAGTCGTCCTGGTCTTGCGGATGTTAAGGTCATCCGAGGGCGGGCCATATAGTTAGGTTAGGTCGAGTCCACACCGGTCCGCAACAATATATAGCAGTTCTTCATTTTACTTTATAGAGAAAATGATTGTAACAGATATTTTATTTAGATTAACGCTGCAAAAATTAGTTTAAATCGAATTTTATTATAGCTATGTTGGTCACATTGCGCCGTATTCAGCAACGTTGTCGTTTATTATTTGACAATAATTACCATAATGTCAGTCATTATTTTGTATAATATCGTGTTGTAATATCTTCTTTTTTTTAATTGTACTTTTAAGCACAAACAGTACTTTTAAGAACTAAATTTTCGAGTTTTTGTATTGCATTCCTTGAAATTGTGTGTTGAAAATATGCCGAAGCATTTCAACAGTTGAAGCAAAGAGCTTGTAGCTTCTCTGATTTTGAACGAGAACGGTAGAATAGAAGATAGAAGGTCCTTTATTCTCTGCAGTCAGAGAAGTAAGTTTGATTGGTAAGCATATATTATACCACTTTCAAAGTTATCTCTACGTTAGTTTTTAAGAAATTCTGTGATTATTAGTTTGTGCATTAATGGCACCCTCTTACTTGTTGTTATTACTACTTGTGGTGTTGTAAGTTGTACACCAATAAATTAGTTAATTAGAATTTAAATTAAAAATTATTTATAATTTAATTATTCAATTAAAAATAAAACGTTAAAATATTTAAAAAATTACATAAATATATTGTTTCCCAAATTTACATTAAGATTTATTTCATAAATCAATCACAATCTGGCAGTACTGTCGCCATCGCTTGTCGCTCAAAGTTGATCACGTGCATCAGAAATTGTTTTGCGATTACTATAGGTATATTTTTCTTATATAAGATCATCAAATACCTAATTTTTGAACTAAGTTCAAAGATTAGAAGTCATTGAATAACTTATTAAAATTTTGAACTTGGTTTAAATCACTTTAAACTCGCCCTGAACCGAGTATCTACAGGGTATCCGATTTTGTTTGAAATCATAGAGAATTTCCGATATTAGTGAAGATAGAACGATGCACAAACCTGTCATTCATTTTTTTTTCAAACAGAAGATGCTTAAACAAAATTTTCATAGCCTTCTTCGTTTCTGAGCCCTATTTTTTATTGAAATTTATTTTTTAATGAAATAAGGAAATTATATCGACAATATTTGTATCAGTGCTCTTTGAAAATTTGTTACATCTTTTAAAATAATCTAAAATGTCAGTATTCCACGGGTATAAATGAGGTCTAAATTATAAGAAAATGCATTTTCTATGAAAACTTGAAGACCTATCTCTTCGAGTTTTCAAAAAATGGTATAATACAATTTGATAGACAATTAAATTATGCATCTGATTCTCGTAAAATATACAGGGTGTCCCATTTAAATTAAACAAATTATTGCCCTTTAAAGCTAGTAATTCTTTAATATAAGTTTTTAGACACTCTGTAAGTTATTATTTTTTTTTATTATAGCAGCACAATATCTGATCAATAAATAAACTTCAGTAAATATTTAGCGATAAATACTTTCTTACCCATGGAGAAACAAAGCCTTAAAAGTTTTTCTACAATTTCACAAAATTGAATATATTTCAAAAACGCTTAGGCTTAAGTGTGATAAACCTTAATCAAATACCTTTATTCCAATCGTATAATCTAAAAATAAAAAAATATACAGGGTGTTCCATTTAAAAAAATACAATTTTCATATTTTGTATTTATTTAGGATATGATATATTTTAAGACATTTTTGGTATCTTGTAAAAATATTTTCAAATTGAAGCTCTAAGAGATCTTCAATGAGCCCAAAACTTACATTTTGTAAAAACTAATCGTTTAGCTACAATACTCCGTGTCGTATGTGGTGAATAACCCTGTATATTGAACCAAAGATTCAAATTTATTCAGTAAAATCAATGAAATGTCTGTCTGGAACGGTTTTTTTTACTTAGTATATATAATTATATGTTTTTCAGCTAAATCAAAAGGAAATAAAGAGAAGTGGAAGGCCATACGCAAACACGAAAAGGAAGAATATCTTCACAAGTTTGACTACTAAATTAGGAGTTAATCTTTTTGAGAAGAAATAAGGTAGTTTGAAACCTAGTGGTATATTAAACGGTATGAAGTAGTTTGTAATAATAATAATGTGTACACATATTAAATAAAATTAGATAAAATGTATAACTTCTTTCATTTGTACTAAAGACGTTCGAAATATGTGCACAATTTATTTACGAATAACAGATGTTAGTATATGTTATTTTGACAGGAACATTGCCAACACTTCTTTCTACTCGAATTATATTTGGCGGTGACCATTAAAACGTCTTTCTTAAGTTACTACGTGACCTACAATGTATGAAAACTAAGTATTTTTGGAAAATTGTATTTTAAATTTCATTTCACTATAGTTTATCTTATAGCAGAATCTTTTTTTCTGGGTAGAAAACAGAGTTTCAGGAAAACAGAAATTTCAATTAAATTAAGTAAAGCTTCATTCAGAACCACGCAATTAGTGGAATAAATTAGTGGTTTCAATTAGCGTCCAAGTTTGTTCTTTTAATTTCAATATAAGCATTCAGAACATCAAAATTAGTGGTAGACCTTTTCAATTAGTAGAAAAAGTTATCAAACTTTTGACTTTTCCACTAATTATACTTCAAAATTTGCGGGAAATGTCATTTTGGCTTTTGATTATCTTCCGACAAGAGAAATTGTGGTTAGAAGCTACATATTAGGCTTTCTCTATGGATACAACTGATTAACCCTTTGAATAAGAAGACTAAGGAAGGAGCATATCAAAAATCTTAGGTCCACCGCGATGGGACTCAAATATGGCCGACTTAAATTCCGGTTTATCAGTGCCGTTCTAATTTTATTTAAAAAATATAAAACTATGATGTAGGGTATATAGACGTGGGGTAGACTCAATATTTTTTTTTTATTTTACGCTGTGAATAAATGTTGGTAGCTATTAAAATTGTTATAAAAATATATTATTATAATAAAAATAGATGTTTTAATAATTATTTATTAACACAAACATCCGATACGCTATTGACGCAGGTAAGTCAAAGTGACGTATCTAAATTCTTGACATCTAATCTTTGACAGGTAGTAAATAAAAGCAAAAATGCAAGAAAAAAATATATAATTAGTTAATTTAAGTGAATTTCATAAATGATCGGTTAACTACACGTATGTATATTACATAGTCACTTACTAGCGAAAAGTTGTTCCATTATTTCACTTGATTTTTGCCGAGATCTACCGCACTCTACACAACCAACTATTTTAGAGTCTTTTTCGATAAATCGCGATAGTGTCACTGTTAATTTAAGTTCTGCCACAATTTCCATCTAGATTTACTACCTTTATACAACTATCAGTAGAAGAATAAATAATAAATAACATAAAATAAGCTCCGTAATGACTGACAAATCCACAAAATTTCAAATCAAATTCAAATGTGTCAAATGAATCGTCAAACAGAACTGTCAAGGATCCCCACCCTAGAGTCCTTTTTCCGCCCACCATGCATGAATACATGGATAGCATTATGCTCCTTCCTTAGTGTTCTTATTCAAAGGATTAACCCAAGCTATTGCTAGGATTTTCTATTAATTTTAATTGTGTTTTTTAAACATTGTGAATGACAGTAAACTAAAAAGTATAAAGTGTATTTGAAACCACTAATTCATTCAACTAATTGCGAGGTTCTGAATAAAGCTTAAGTAATGCAAAACCTTCGTTTTAATAGGGGCCTTGTCTTTTTACTTTAAAGGGAGTTCTGCATATTGTGGCATATACTTGAAAGAAAAATGTAAAATGTTAAACCAAGCATTTATAAAATTTGTACAGCGATAAAATGACTATTAGACGACATACAAAAAATTATAGAAAATATTAAATGTAGTTTGTCCAATGAAAGGATACTTAACACTGACAGTTGTAGTTTGTCATTTTAATTGACGGGTAAATTGTATTGTGAACCGTTTTGCTATTATAGGGTAGACAATTTAAACTTAGTAAAAATAGTAAATTAGTTCCAAATAAAAAAATTAAATTAACAGAATATCCTAGCAACAGCCTGCGGTTGTTAGTTGTATCCATAGAGAAAATCTAATATTTAGCCTATAAAACAATCAACTTTTGATTTCTAACCACAATTTCTCTTGACGGATGACAATTAAAGGTCAAAATTACTTTCCTCGCAACTTTTGAAGTATAATTAGTGGAAAAGTTAAAACTTTTTCCACTAATTGAAGATTACCACCACTAATTTTGACATTGTGAATGATTACATTGATATTCGAGGAACAACCGTCTACGCTAATTGAAAATTGAAACCATTAATTCATTCCACTAATTGCGAGGTTCTGAATTTAGCTTTAATTTATTATTAAAATAAATTAAAACTGACCGATAAAATATAACTCATGCAATAAAAAATACTTATATTTTTAAATAAAATTTGTAGTAAATTTAAATAAAAGAGAATTCTTATTGATATACTATCTTCCATATCATATTACTCAAGAAAAGTCTCACGGTCTGTCACATTTCAAGTGAAGTAACAGAAATTATACAGACGATAAAATTATTGACCCACTCTTGTGTTCCTCTTCGACCAATAGAATGGCAGCCTCAAGTTTTCTCCCCCTAGGTACGGTAAATTAAGGTAAATTTGTCGGTCTAATAAAATTAAGATGGCGTTGGGATTGGATTTACGAGTCGAGACACCAGGGCCGGCTTAAATATAGCTGAAAAATTGTTAAAAACGCCGTAAATTTTATTCAATAGAGTGAATTAAAGCGATGTGGTTTATTGAGGTGGCAAAAATCGTTACAATTATTACTTTTAACAGGTCTTTTAAAAGTAGGTGTGAAGTATTTTGTATTGTTAGAAACTAAACTGCCTATAAATGTTCACACAACCTATGTTTTTACTACTAATAAATAGAATTATATAAGGATTCTCTCACTACCGGTTTCGGAGCCCTACTCCATCACCAGGTGAGCTTGGGCAGATCCACAAAATAACAACCACAGCGTAGAGATAGTTAATTCCGACTTGTCGGTAAGTATCGGTTAGATATTAAGTCCCGAACGAGAGATAGCGGCCTGCGTGCAATGGTAGTACTTTCGTACCACCGTGGCGAAACTATCCTTAGTAAAAGGATGGTAAAGGGCTTTTTTTCAGGCAAGCCAAATTACAAACTTAATATTTAACCGATACTTTCCGACAAGTCGGAATTAACTATCTCCGCGCTGTGGTTGTCATTTTGTGGATCTGCCCAAGCTCACCTGATGATGGAGTAGGGCTCCGAAACCGGTAGTGAGAGCAGGTTGATCCAAACACAGCGTAGAATTAAATTTCTATACCAGCAGTTAAGTGGCAAGAATCCTTATATAATTTTATTATATACCTATACTGCAAGAAATTAGTTTTCTATTTTACTACTAATACATGTTCCTTGGTATTGTTTGTCCAGTACTTGTAGTTTGTCTTGGCAAACTTTATTAATTTCATTGGCAATCGTGTGATAATAAATATGTCCTCCTAAAAAGACAAATATCAAGATCAAGAAATACTTAGACTAATATGCTACTATACATACTATAGACTAATATGCTAGTCATTTTCAGCTCATTTCTACTCAACCATTTCCAATTATGGTGTAGCCTCGCTGTCATATTTAGATAGTAGTTGAGCCCATTGTTGTCTATTGTTGGCTATGCGGGATCAAGTTATCCCTGCTAATTTCCTAATATCATGATCCCATATGCTAGTATCTTAAATATAATTATTATACATATAAGCTAATAAGCTTTTAAAAAAACTAAGATATTTTTTAGCTAACGAAATGCATTACTTACTTACAACAACTACTCGCTGACGAGTATTTGACAATCATCAGAAAATGATTACGCAGGGTGTTTACTTTCATGAGCTTTTCTGTGACTGAAAAGCCCGACACGTGATGTTATCTCTCTTCCGCACTTCGGATATTCAAAAATCTCATTGCTTTGTTGCCTCTTTACTTTTTGGTTGTCGTTGTTAACTGAGTTTACTATTCTCCATTACGTTCTATTATACCCTGCTTCCTCCCACTGATGCTTATTCTCTTTAAGTTTTCGTGGAAAATATCCTTGTATTGGGAGAGGGGCTTGGAACACCCTCAAAAAGAAATTTACGCTATCGACAGATGCGTACAATTTATATTAGATAGGAACTATCGAAAACAGAAAATTGCCATCCTATCCGATAGTCAAGCAGCACTAAACGCGATCAACTCAGTAACCATCAATTCAGTTGGTGAAAGAATGTCTAGAGAAGCTCAACAAATTAGGCAAAGAAAATAAAGTCTTCCTACTGTGGGTGCCTGCTCACCAAGGGATAGATAGAAGGCAATGAAAAAGCAAATGATCTAGCTAGGAAAGGAGCGAACACTCCACTAACTGGACCAGAACCGTTCTGTTTTTAAAACGGGAACCAACTGAAAGCGGAACTGAAGAATCTGGAAGACTCCATCCGTAACTTGGAATGGATGTCCTCCAACGGTCTAAGTTGAAAGTTCCTCAGAGTTTACGACCGAGAAAAATCAAAGGTTTTCTGTGATTTAAGTAAAAACAATCTTCGGATTGTCACGGAGTTTGTAACAGGACACTGTCTCTTTAACGAACACCTCAGTAGGCTGAAGCTAAGAAACAACGGCGAATGCAGATTCTGTGGAGAAAATGGGAAAACACCAGAACACCTTATCACTGAGTGCGCCGAGACGACGACCATTCGTGCCATCAACTTTGGTACGGCTGATGTCGAGGATGGAGAGCTGGCATCTGTGGAGCCGTTTAAGATACTGCAGTGGGACTCCGTGTTATATAGAAATCTATAATAGTATTCTATTATCCCTTTCTATCGGAGGACGGCGATAGTAGAGTTTATTGGCACTCTGTGCCGATATCGTTTTCGTTCGGCTGTTTTCGCGTATTTTTCGCTAGCGATACTATTAATCCTACAAACATTAGCAAATGAAGCGCCTGATACAAATTTTGGTGTTATTTTCGTCTTTGTTTATCGCACATTTAGATAATGTGGAAACATACTCCGGCGTGTAAACAGAGAACGCATAGAACGTTTGTTTACATGATAGATAACCTAACCAAAAATTAGTTTAAATATTAAAACATCTTCAGTAAAAAAAATTAAGAATCTTTATTATATCATTTTGATTAGCAAAATGAGAGTAAGGGCCGAACATTGGAACTTACTGTTAAACGTTTGCGAGAACAATCCGGAATTAATAACAAATAAATTTAATGGAACTGAAGGAATGCAATGCCTTATGGCAAAGTGTTTCGGTACAATTGAATAGTTTAGGATATAGTGAAAAAACCGTGGATGGTTGGCGAAAAGTAAGTAAGTATGTTATTATCCCGTCACAGACCTTTATTAATCTGGAAATAAGTTATAAATTAAGTGGTAAGAGTAATATTACAAACATATTTATTTTCAGACGCTTACTGATTTACTGATTGGAAATGCAAAACAAAATCAAAGGCTTCTGCCATAAAAATGGAGCAGCAACGAACTGGTGGTGGCCCCCCTCAGGTTCCTCCATTAACAACATTAGAGAAAAGAATTTTAAAAATTATGGGGAATAAGGCAATTTATGGTGACGAGATAGTGCCCGAGTTAGGATTTGGAAAAGTAAGTGCTACTTTATGTTAGTTGAAAAAAGTCACAAGGGCATTTACATATCATGTTCTTTAATTGGTTTGTTAATTAAAAAATTAATATAATTTTTTTAATAGGTTGAAATTCTCAAAAATATGGAGACTGATGCACCATCCACCAGTGCCACACGAACTCCCAGTACCCCATTAAATGTTGAGATTAATGCAGCATCCACCTGTGCCTCACTAACACCCAGTGTAAAAAGAAAGTTAGAGTACAAAAGCACCCATTCAGAAAGGTGCTATTCAGGCGAGCTCAATCGGCGACAGTTGAAATATTTGAAGACCGTTCATGTTTATTGTGTGTTTATTTCATAATTATTACCATATTATATATATTTTTTAAACAAAATATTGTTTATTTGGTACAGAAACAAATTATAATCTTCTAGCCTTTCCTCTTCTCCTGCTGCCATGATATTTATTATGTTAATTGGCAACATATTTAAATAACTGTCACACAAAATAGAGTTGTCAACAACTCAAAAACATAAACAACAAACAAAATCTTAGATTAGCAAATTCCTCTGAGACAAAATAGATAACTTAATCTAATAACCTTAAAAATGTCAAATATATTCTCAATACGCGTGCGCTACGTAGAATTCGATACCAATTGAAATGTAGAAATCAAGCGACCAAAATAATCGCATCTTATCGATATCGTTGCTGCACAGAGTGCCGATCCTATAGAATTCTGACGATATGTAGAATTCTACATGACACAGAGTCCCACTGCTGGCTTTTGTTAAAGTCTTGAGACTGTGTGATGAGTTATAACTCGTTATAACTCAAGAAAGGGGAACACACAATAGATCTGTAAGGTCGCGGTGATTAACTCCCCTCCTAAACATTCTACATTCCTCTTACCGTCTACTACTTAAGTTTTTTTTTAAAGAAAATCTTTCGGTAGGCAGTTTTCTTGCATCCTGCATACATGACCAGAACAGGAATTTAGTAATCATGACTTCAGCGCTCTTGTAGCTAGCTTTTTCGAGGACCGATGCGTTTGAGATATGGTGGTACCATTTGATTCTTATAGGTCTAATGATAACGAAATACAAAGGACTGTAACAACAAAAGAACTTCTTCTGTGACTGTGACTATAACAGTTATTTTTTGGATCATATTGTATTTATGACATAGTTTATTATTAAATATATTGAAATAATGGTAATATTAAAATAAATAAGTTTGCACTAATATGTAACTTTTAATACGTATTTCAGAAAATATCCATTTTACGATTTACTATTATCAGTATTATCAGATCCAAAACAAAGAATTCACTAATTTTTAAACACGTTTTAACCAGATAAAACAGGAAACTGTACCCGCACAAATACCCCTCTCACTAGCAAAATTTGTTTTTCAAGCGACAACTGAAGTGCATTGAAAACATCACATCGATCACAGCGTGATGACATTTTTTACAATTTTGTTCTGCGACTTTTATAGGGAACAGGGCAATTATTGCATTTTTAAAAAAAAATTATGAAAAAATTACAAAATTTATTTTGTGCTTACCTTTGTAGATTAAGAATCCTAATCAAGAATAGTATGTAGCCACCTGAAACACAAAAAAAAGTTATATTTAAATTTGATAAATCTCATAAATAACAATTATTTTTAGATAAAAAATAGGATAAACCTTATACAAATTTGTATTAGTTAAAATTTAAAAAAATATAAACAATTCTAAATTAGCCATTTAATAGTAATAATAAATTTAGATATTTTACACTATTGTAATATTTTTCAACTTAAAAATATACGACAAGAAAAATTAGGGATTCATATGACAGTGATAGTTATCTGTCTTCTAATTCAAAGGACAATTATTTTGTTTCTTTAACGCTTTTTGAATGTTGTCTGTCGAAATCATACCTGCAGATTCAAACTGCCATTAAAACTAAGAGGGTTGCCCTATACCACAAACCACTTTTCATTGATTGCCCTTTACAATGTTCAATTAAGGTAACAATAGTCGATACAACTGGACTGAAAAGCCTCTCGCAAAAGGACTCGCAGTTACTCTCTGCTAGAGTACAAACAAATATAGTAAACATATAGTAAACGCCACGAATGTTTGGGAGTGATTCATCGCTTGATGAAGTTAGAATCGACACGCGCGCTATCATTTTTACATTAAAAACGTAAATTTTTACCGCAGACGTAGGTTTTTAAAGGCCCGGTCTAATCATCTGCCTGCGCTCCTCTTACTTATTCTAAAATGTTAGCGTCATTGACAAAGACGATACTATATCGCGTTTCTTTGAATGATTCGTTTTTGTGCGTCAGTCCATTGGTGTGCTTGCAGTGCGACCAATGGGGCATTCCATTTTATATTTATAACCAAATATATGTTTTGACAAGACTTTGATAGTTAAAACAACAAATTACAATAGATTATATATTGATTATCATATGACTTGAAAAACCACGGCACTGGAATTAAGTTTTATGTGACCTTGAACAGATTAGTTCACATGGTAGCGACCGATGAATCACTCCCAAACATTCGTGCCGTTTACTATACCTACAAACTGCTACAAACAATATCAATATGATTTTTTAATGGCAGTGACATTACACACAACTGTTTCATAGGTATGTTGATAAGGACCAAACGCAAAGATATGCTTTTAATGCAAAATTTGCTCTAAATTGTTACAGTCTTCTTTAAAAGCGAATATCTCTAACAAAAATGAAGCTATTGAGATGAACAAAAAAACAAACAATCGAGAAAAGATGCAGTTATAAGCAGATTACAGTTGAGGGTTGGAACCTTTGGTGTTACACAGCAAAATAAAAACACTAAATCACCACAATACACCAAAACACTTTTACTTTTACACTGGACGCGCGTTTCGCTAACCATGTTAGCATCATCAACAGTTGTCATCATGTTAGCATCATCATCAGCAACCATGTTAGCAATCATAGCTCAAGAGTTTATTATCATCTGCTGATGATGCTGACATGGTTAGCGAAACGCGCGTCCAGTGTAAAAGTAAAAGTGTTTTGGTGTATTGTGGTGATTTAGTGTTTTTATTTTGTTATAAGCAGTTTTTAAATTCCTAAATTTGTTAAACCATTCCACAGGATGTTTCAAAATGTCGCCAAAATAACATTTTGTTTCTCCTCGAGATAGATAAGGACTTTAATTTTTAATTTAGAAAGATGCAAAAAAGTCAAATAATAATAGATACAAATTGTTTAAAAAATTAAAATCGGTCCACTAAAACAAAATATATTAATCTTAAAATACATCAAAATTTTAAGGTGTCTGTTTTTCATGCCGGTGAGTGTATATTGACAATACAGGGTGTCCCAGAAATAAGTGCAAATATTTTAAGGGGTGGTAGATCTCGATAAAAGAAACATATTTTCTCTTTATCGTTTTTCAAATGAGTCCAAAATAACGAAGTTATTTTACTTTAAAAATTAAAAAAAAATGATTTTTTGCTAAAATTTTAAGAACCACTGGATCTTTTCTGGATTTTCTTTCTTGTAAATTTAATCTAATACCTATGTTGCCATATTATCAAGAAATTATGTTTTTAACAAAAAACTAAAAAAATTTCCAAAATTTTTTTAAAAAAATTTCGAATTTTCAATTTTTTTTCCGCGAAAAAAAAAAACGTCATAGGCGTGTTTCTGGGGTTCAACTATACTACCAGTTAAAATACTTGCACTTATTTCTGGGACACCCTGTATAGCCAGTACGTCTTTTTGATCACCAAATTAAGATGCTTGCTTTATCTACAATGAAGATACAGAGGGATGAAAAATACCGTAAGTTGTTAAAATATACATATTCTAGAAAAAGAAGAACCCTCGCTATAATTTCTACATATCATTAAACCTAACATATATCTCCGTTTTTCCGGAGACTTTAACACAAGTCCAGTAAACTATATATTTTATATCCGCACACAGACAAGCCCTACGCTTTTCCATCAACGGCCACCGGCATTTCTATTTATTCTCTACGCTTTCCTCGTCATTCCTGCTCCATCTCTGGAAATCAAGACGATATTATTTTGCCCAGGAAGGAAACGCTGAAAGCCCTCGGCAGTTGTTGCTATGAAAAAAGGAGTAAAGTGCTACGTTAAAATTTTATGCTTGTGTGTGTTTGACAGGTCGACGTGTTCTTTTCGAAGTTTATACGGAAATAAAAAAATATTTTTTCCTGGTTGATATATGTTTGAATTTCTTTGATCAAGAAGATGTTCATATAGAAAAAAAAAGACTCAGAAGTCAGATTTAAAAGTTATATTGTAAATATGTATTGGTCTTGTATCGAATACTTGAAAGAAATATCCTAATATCTTTTTAATATCTGAATGCGAACCGGGATGTCAAATATTGCGGTTTTGTATGGGATTTTTATTTGGTAACTGATTCTGAGCTTAGATATACAGAGTGATGCCAACTCGTGGGAAATTTCCCGATTCGTGGGAAATTTCTAGATCAAAAGGGAAAAGGAAGATTTTAATCCAAAAAATATACACAGTGGTCCGAAGTGTATTCCGGAAACTTCGGCAGCATATTCTGCAGATAAAAATAGGTAAAAAGTTCGTATAAATGCATGTCCTAAAATGCTTAGTTTCGGAGATACAGAGTGTAGAAGTTTCATTTTTATTTCGATTTTTTCCAAATAATTTCCAAAGCAACGTCAATATTTAGATGAAAATTGGTGTCTGGGAGTTTTTTGACATGAGAAATTTGATTTTGATGTCAATATGACTCCTACTGGTAGAGGGTGCCACCTACATGTGTTTTAACTGTTTTGAAGCGTAATAACTTTTTGTCCGTACCTGTATAAAACTACTGAGGGAAAAAATATACATCTCTGTGATTTTTTACGTAAAAAATATCTCTTTGTAAAAATCCCTACGAGCAACCGTTCTCAAGATATTTAGAATGGAAATAGCCAATACATGCCATTATTAACGAAAAATAAACACGTTGAGTTAGATAGTTAGTTTTTTAAATTAATAATATTTTTTCTGCAAAAAAATGATGATAAAACAGTTTTTGTTGAACTACTTAACTTTTGGTACAAAAACATTTCAAATTTATGATCTCAGTCTAATAACTCTCTAGTCAACATGTTTAATTTATGTCAGTGATGACAGGCATTGATAATTTCGATTCCAAATATCTCGAAAGACCTTTTTTACGTAAAAAGCGTCGTTAATGTATATTTTTTTACTCAGCAGTTTTATACAGGTACGGACGAAAAGTTCTTACTCTTCAAACCAGTTAAAAAATATGTAGGTGGCGCCCTCTACTAGTAGGAGTTATATTGACATCAAAATCAAATTTCTCATATCAAAAAACTCCCAGACACCAATTTTAATCCAAATAATGACGTTACTGCAGAAATTATTTGGAAAAAATCGAAATAAAAATGAAACTTCTACACCCTGTATCTCCGAAACTAAGCATTTTTGGACATACATCTATACGAACATTTTTACTTATTTTTATCTGCAGAATATGCTGCCGCAGTTTCCGGAACACAGTTCGGACCACCCTGTATACAGGGTTGTTCACCACATAAGATTACGGAGTATTGTAGCTAATCGAGTAGATTTTTGCAAATTGTAAGTTTTGGGTTCGTTGAAGGATTATTAGAGCTACAATTTAAAAATATTTTTAGAAGAGACAGAGTGTCTCAAATAAATAAGAAATAACAAAGTTGTATTTTTTTAAATGGAACATCCTGTATATTATTACACTTTTAGTTTCTACGATTAAAATAAAAGTAAAGTAAGTTTCATTTCTCTAGGCGTATTTAAGTTCTTAAAACCAAATATTGTACTGAAGTATTTCTATTTACTAAATTTTGTGTTGCAATAATATAAATTATACTACCTTATACAGAGTCTCTAAAAATTTATTTAAATCATTACTAGCTTTAAACGGCAATAATTTGTTGAAATTAAATGGAACACCCTGTATATTTTATGAAAATCCGATACACAATAAAAGTGTCTATCAAGTTGTATTTTACCATATTTTACCTCTCTTTAAGTTTTCGTAGAAAATGCATTTTCTTATAATTTAGACCTCATTTATCAACATAGGTACCCATAAAGAGTACAGATACTAATATTGTCGATATACTTCGTTTATTTCATTAAAAATATTTATTTTTTATACAAGACGATAATGCAATTTTATCGTTGTGTATAAAACAATATTTTTTTTCCATAGCGAGTTACGTTTTAAAAAATATTCAGAAATTATTTCAAGGAATTTATTACGAGTAGAAAAAGTATTGTGCTGGGTTGGCGTTGGTTTCTATGTAATTTGACAAAGAAATAAAGCTGTCTCTTTAGTTGTCAGTTTTGAGTCAATATTTTTTAACTCTCTTTCGTGTCGATTGCTGATTGCTGAATTGGAGCCAGTTAATGGCTCAAAACGAAAGAAGTAAATTACCAACAGATATTCAGGCTGATTCGACAAACGCCATAATATCCAAACTACTTCCATTTAAATCCCGAATAACTTATGAAAAGGAATACACACATTTTCAAAAATGGAAGCAATTAAAAA